GGACCACGCTCTCACAGAATACCAGCGTAAAATAGCAGCTTAATGCTGCTGTGTTTCGTATGGTGAGTGTAGAGAACGGCTCGAATCGTCGACGACCGAGTCCTTTCCGATCGGCTCGATTCATTGGCACTGCAAAGAGATGTTGCATCCCTTTGCATTTTCTTTCGCATCTACCACGGGGAGTGCTCTGAGGAATTGTTCGGATTAATCCGAGCCGCCAAATTTAACGAACGCACATCGCGGCAGAACTCCCGATACCATCCACACCATCTGGATGATTGGCGGTCCACCACTGTGCGATTTAGATTATGTTTTCTTCCTCGCAGGACTTCCTTGTGGATCAAATTACCATCAGTGATTTTTCCGGATCGATACGACTTAGGGACCTTCAAGAAAAGAGCCTACTCCTTTTTAAAAGGCCGGCAACGCATCTGCGATTCCCCCGGTGTTGCGGTTGTTCATGGGCGGCGGTAGTCACTTACCATCAGGTGAGCCGCATGCTCGTTTGCCCCCTCTCCTATATAAAAAAAACTTACTATGTGTTAAGACTCCTTTTATGCGTAGGTGTACGTCTGCGTAGGTACCACCCCTTTATCTATTTCTGCTACCAAATAGCAGTGCTTGCACTGCTGTGTTCCGGTCTGATGATGATGATAGAGAGAGCCAGTGTAATTAGAGGCTGTGAGGCATTATACGTGGTAGAGCCATACTGCAGCTATATTAGTAGTATAGTTGTAGCACGAATGGGTCGGCTCGACCGGGGAAGGACCACGCTCTCACAGAATACCAGCGTAAAATACTGGTAGCAGCTTAACACTGCTGTGTTTCGTATGGTGAGTGTAGAGATCCGGAGACCCTTTTTACTGGAAACGAGGCATTCCATCTTAGTCCTCACAGGTGACAATGCATCTGCATTTTGATTCGCAAACGAGGATAAATGTAGATGTCTATGGGTCACAGCAACCACTTACCATCAGGTGGACTGTGTGCTCGTTTGTCACCCTTATCCTATAAAAAATATTCCATATTAGTCCTCAGAGTCTTCCTTTGATATTGTTGCAGTTGTCAATGGACTGCTGTAGCCACTTACCGTCAGATGGACTGTCAGTTCACTTCAGTTTTATAAAAAAGTTATCAGACGCACTCCAATCAAACCATCTGCTTCTTTTATATTTAATCTATGGGGTTGTGTAGGCCAGTTGGTTGGTTAATTTTTGAAGAGGCATAGATCGTGGTTGCCACTCTTAGCAAGGGTGTTGGCAACCGCAGCTTCTTTATTTTTTTGAGCTGTTGCAGCAGGAAGATGCTGTTGCCCATCTCCTGTTTCATTAGCTACTACACGGAAATGGTACTACATGGTGTCCCCGATTGTAATATACTAAATATGAACAATGCAAAGTTCAATGTTCTTTGTTAATAAGGTTACGTTACAAGCCAACGTCCACATCCTTATCTAGAGCCTTCATGATAAGCTTACAGGCCTTATCGCTCGTTGGAATGTTTTGTAATAAATAATACTGTCGAGCCCTGCTGTTCTGCTTAGTCAGCTCAACGTTTATTACACCTTTTAGTAGTAATATTTTCCTTATTTTATAATTGTTATTACGTTTTATACGTGGTAGAGCCATGCTGCAGCTATATTAGTAGTATATTCGTAGCACGAATGGGTCGGCTCGACCGGGGAAGGACCACTCTCTCACAGAATACCAGCGTCAAATAGCAGCTTAACACTGCTGTGTTTCGTATGGTGAGTGTAGAGAACCGGAGACCCTTTTTACTGGAAATGAGGCATTCCATCTTAGTCCTCACGGGTGACACCGCATCTGCATTTTGATTCGCAAACGAGGATAGGTGTAGATGTCTATGGGCCGCAGCAACCACTTACCATCAAGTGGACTGTGTGCTCGTTTGTCACCCTTATCCTATTAAAAAAAAAACCTCTGTTAGTGATCGTGTAACTTCTGACTTCCGAACAACTTGACAAATTGAGGTCATATTACTCACACATGCTTTGTCGAGACGGTGGACGATGGTTCATATCTATGTCTTCCAGTTTAACACACACAATCTCAATTACAACTGGAAAATTTAATATGTTATACATATTGTACTTCACATAAATTCGCCATAGTCGTAGTTTGTTTTAGCGGTTTACTCTGTAAGATTATATTTGAACAATAAGTAATAATGATTATAATACGTTGACGTTCATAAATGATTTGCTTAAAGTAATGAATAAAGATATTTGCCTTGATTTATGTCATGATCCAGTATTTGGCCCTGTAGTAAAGTTATTAACAAAGTCTATACGGGGTTATTTTTCAATAACCGGTCAAATTTGCAGAGAAGGTTCAGAATAAGCAACAAAGGAAAATGATTAAGAAAAATTAATATAAAAATCTCATACATATTTGAATTTAATAGATAAAAAGGACAGACCTTTTTATCTATTAAATTCAAAATGCGTGGCAATGCATTATTTTAACCGACTTTGCCGTATATGATGCACACATTCGTAAGGGTCGATCGGTTGACAAAAATTCAATTTGAGATAATTTCAAATATAAGTAGAAGCCTTATTTACTCGTATTTTCAAAGACTGCAATAAAGAAATATCATTATTTACATATTTGAAGTTAAGTTTAAAATTTGGCTACTCTTTGAAAAGTAGGCCTGTATAATCAATTACGAACAAAAATGACTCGAAATCTGAATAGGTCCATCTATATCAAGTTTTCTAGTTTTAGATTTAGAGTTAGAATATAAATAACACAAACAAGTGACCCCCCCCCCCCCCCCCTCCACTAGATAGATAACCACTCGATGAAACATGCGGAGTCGATAGATGCACCTTGCTTTGGGGCAATGTAAACAGGACTTATAATACTGAAGACTGTGATAATGATGATGTAGCACAAATACATTCAGGGTTGATAAGTCATGTATACGCCCCATACAATCATTATCATAAAAATCCTATTTTCAGTTGAAAGTCGGAATGACTGTAGCAGATTAGGTGAAGAAGTGACATGCTAGTTATTTTTCAACGGATTTCAAAAAAAGGAGGAGGTTCTCAATTCGAATGTATTTTTTTATTTGTGTTGATTTTATTCTTTTTTGTTTGAAAGCTGGTGCTTCTCATGTGGTCCCATATAAATTTGATCAATATCTAATCAGTTTTTTATTTATCCTTAATAATTCGTATTTAATTGACTTCGACTACATTGATGGTGTTCTCATTTTATTTATATTAGGCCTTTACCTATGAAATTGTCGGTTTTTATGAAATAAGTTAACGTAATATTTTTTTCTAAATTTTTTATTTCTATTAGTAAAAGTAATCACCCATGCAAACGATGCTGGACAGGAGGTAACAAATTCTTCAAAGGCATTTTGTACTGCCTCTCGGGTATAGAACTTTTTTTCCCGCCAAAAAGCTATATAAATGCTGAAAAAAGTAGAAGAAGAAAGCTGGTGCTTCTCATGTGGTCCCATATAAATTTGATCAAGATCAGATCAGTAGTTTTTGAGTTATCCTTAATAATGCGTATTTAATTGACTTTTACTACATTGATGATGTTCTCATTTTATTTATATTGAAGTCGGTTGTACAAATTTTTAATTTAACCACTTGTTATTTAAACCTGTTTCCAAACCAAATAGTTCGGATTGAACTTGGTTGTGAGTCTTAACTTTTGCACTTTATTCGGCCCTATATGTTATAATATAAAACTATATTAATTAACTTTCATAATTAACTAAAGAGTTTCACCTAAATTTATCTTTTCCGGGCAGACCCGGAACAGGTGTTTTCGTTTACCTATTCACTCGCCGTGTAATCACATTCATTGTTTCAAAACTCGGTTTCAAACGACCGTTTTAATGTTTCCGTGAAACACGAAAGACGAAATCTGACGTAAGTGTCACGACTAGCTTCAATTTAAATAATATAATGTCTGGTAGAATGTAGTTACAAAACTAATCGTGATAATGTATGTATATCGACAAAACGATATGCTTCACAAACAAGTTCACCTTCGTGACATTGCTGTGAAAACTTATCTAATTTGGTTTGGTAATTTGTAAAGGAAAGGTTCACAGAAGGTAACAATGAAGTTATGTATAAAAATGTAGCAAAAGATTTTTATTACTGTAGTTTTGCAAACTTTATACAATTATTTTAGCCTTGCGTTATATTGCGAATAGATACAAGTTTATCAAGTTACAAGATTATACAGGGTTATTTTTCAAAGAGTAGCCAAATCTTAAACTTAAGTTCAAATAATGGTACATCGTTATTGCAGTTTTTGAAAATACGAGTAAATAAGATTTCTACTTTTATTTGAAATAATTCCAAATTGAATGTGATTTATGGGCAACAAAGAGCAAGATGGGATCTTGCTGGGGTAGCCCGTCACTTATTTTCTGACGAACGAAATGTGTATGATTGAGCAGTGTTAGTATGTACTATGATCGCATGCCTAGGTGCTAGCTTGGCCAGTGGGCCATTTACTAAGTATCTGGTAATCAAGGTACGTAAAAACATTACTCACCTCACGTTAATTCTCCCAACTGGTTTTTACGTAAATGTTAGATAATATCGTTAACAATCATCAATACTCCCAGACACTTTCCGTAGGCAGTATCGCTTTGCAGACCCTATAAAGCAGTGATGCACAGACTTATTAAGACTAGGGGCCACTCGGGCAAATTATGAACTGATGGCGGGCCGCCAGAAGTATAGGTAATTAAAGACAATAAAGAATTAATAATAATGTATTAAAATTGAAAAATAATTTATTAATTTGAAGCGTGGCTCTGCATAGTGCTTACAATCTTTTTTATATTTGGCTCAAATTTACTTGTAGCAACACGTAAAACTGCTTCCAAACTTTCATTTGCAAGGCGGTTTCGATTTTTTGTTTTATTATTATTTAGTATTGAAAAGGTTTGTTCACATATATAGGTAAAACCAAATAAGCTGGCACATTTCCGAGCGTTTATGCGCAACTCTTTGTACGTATTTTTATCAATCGGTAAAAGCGGTAAAAGTTCAGCAAGTCTCCTTCGTTGAATTTGTTGCGTAAATCTTGGTCGTTTTGAATGTCGATAATTTCTAACTGCATTGACTCTGGCGCATTTTCAACTGAAATCATGAAAGGATTGCTGAATATGTCCAACAGAGGTTTCACTTTTTTAAACTCCGAAAATCTGTCTTGAAAAGATTGAATCAAAATATCTAGCTTTTCTACATAACTGAATTTAATCTCAGTTTTGTTGAATTTTTCAGCCATTTTCTTATAATTCGGAAAATGATTGTAATTTCCAGAATTCAATTGCGATCTGAAAAGTGTCAGCTTGCATTGAAAGGATGATACATGAGCGTAGAGCTGGGATATCAGTTGATTTTTGCCTTGAAGCCGTGTATTCAAGACATTCAAATGATTTGTAATATCAACTAAAAAAAGCCAAATCACACAACCAATCAGGCTTTTGCCCCAGAAATATTCCAATTTCTTCTATTAAATTTAGAAATCGTTCCAGTGTCAATCCACGACTTAGCCACCTTACTTCTGTATAATACAGTAAATCTCCATATTCGCTTTTGATGTCATCAAGGAATTGTTTGAATTGCCTGTGATTGAGTCCTCGTGATTTTATGAAATTTACAGTCGAAACTACCACTCATGACATTTTGAAATTCTATTTTTTTAGAACAGAGGGCTTCTTGGTGTATAATGCAGTGAAACTGCATGAGATCTTCAGCGTTTATGTTTTTTTCTTGCAGATGCTTTTTCAGCAAAGTAACTAGCCCAGAATTGACACCAATCATCGAAGGAGCACCGTCAGTCGCAACTCCCGATAATTTTGATAAGTCCAAATCAGTTTTTGAACACTCATCCAAAAGTACATTGAGTATATCAACTCCTCTGGTTTGACCTTTCAATGAACACATTCCTAATAACTCTTCTAAGACTTCAAAATCTTGAGTAACACCTCGTATGAATATCAGAAGTTGAGCTGTGGAACTAATATCAGTGGATTCGTCGAGTGCTAATGAAAAAAATTCAATGATCTTAGTTTTTTCATTTAATTATTCCGCAATATTACCTGACAAAGACATAATTCGTCTTTGGATAGTCATACGATTCAGTTGAATTTTCTCAAACTTTTTTGCTGCTTCTGGACACATTTTCTTAGCGGCAATTTCTATGCATTCTTTTACAAAATCCCCATCATTGAAGGGGCGACTTCGCTTTGCTATCATTCGAGAAATTTCATAACTAACTTCTGTAGCTGTTTCTGAATCTTGAATGGGTTTTGTAAACATAGCTTGCTGACCAATAAGCTCCCGTTTTAAAGACAACATTTATTGCTTTCTTAATTCGCCTGTAAACTTGGTAAAAGTAGGATGCTGCGTTTCATAGTGCCTTTTTACATTATATTCCTTTGCAATCGCAACAGAATTCTTGCAAATTAAACAAACGACTTTGTTTTGGGACCATATAGAAAAGTATTTCTCAGTCCAAATTTCTTGAAACTGCCGATTTTCATCTTTAACCTTACGTTTTTTACTAGGTCCTGGCTTGTCCATGTTGCGTTCTAATCCTGGCTAGGATTAACACAGCACCTAAAAACAATTACAGTACCTACTTAAATTACCCATCCTTTTTTAAATTACCGAAAATAATTGATTAGATAGGTAGGGAAACACTTATTAATAACAGAGTTTTACTTACGATTTCACAACACAATTATACACGGCACTTGTCAAATCTACGTTGAATGTGGATCAAAATATATGACACCGGCTAGTCGAATTAAAATCTACACTAGAACTATTGACATTTCACTCAAATTAAAACCGAACTGTCGGTCGCTGCGGTTAGCGTGGCTTTTATACAGCGCGTATAGAGTCGAAAACTGTCTGGAGAAATCACGAAACCAACTCTGGAAGATTCGTGTATCTACCTACGCGAGCAATCGGGAATTCGGGACTATTGCTATCTCGCTTGCTCTAACAATATAACCCGTGGATAAGCCGCCACCGCGCTGCCGTCGTCGCCGCGCCGCCGGCCGCGGCGGTTCCTCAAGAAAACGAATTTAACCGAGATCAGCACGAACATTACCGACCGCTGTTACCGACGCATGCACGGCGCACCGATAAGAGCACTTAAGAGCGCGCGCGCGAGATTCAAATTACTTTTCGAACATATTTTTTTTGGTTTTATTCTGGAATATAATTCAATATTTTTCGAATGTACGAGAGTATTATTTTTGCTGTCGGCGGGCCACCAGTATTCGACCGGCGGGCCGCATGCGGCCCGCGGGCCACGGTCTGTGCACATAAGCTTTAAAGCTTTCAAAAAAAAATACTCAATTTCACTTACATTCTGAATCTCCATTTTTATATATATTAGCCAGACAACTATTTTAAAACGTTTTACAAAAAGGTGGACCGATTGAAGGGGTCAACCATCCCCTAGACCCAATTTGAATGCCTCTGTGGATATGAGCGCGAGGGGATTATCCGCACGCATGAGCGTGAGTGACACATGTATTAATATCTAGGGGGATCTTGGACTAACAACATTTTTGCCTACCGATCGACCCTTACGAATGTGTGCGTACACAGTTAAGCCAGTAAAAGTAGTTAAAATAACGCATTTCCACGCATTTTGAATTTAAAAGATAAAAAGGACAGAATTATTGAGATTATTTAAAATTGATTTTACTTCACCATTTACTTATATTTCTTATTTTGTAGCTTCTCTGCAAATTTGGCTGGTTATTGGAAAATAACCCTGTATTATATTGAAAGTCATTAACTCTTTTACCACTGGTTCTGAAAAATACTTCTATATATTCTGGGAAGAACCAGCAAGAAACCCAGCGGGACTTAATTTAAAAAAAAAAATTTAAATATTATTTACAGCAAAATATTAAATATGAAAACATTTACAAATATGGTAGCGATCAGATGGGATTTATCCTTCAACGTAAGTGACAAACTGATTTTTATTCACTTGCATCAAATTAGGAAAGTAATGATGCTCGATTGCAAACGGTGATGGAAAGCTAGCGATCAAATAACCGATACTTGTCAATTGTCTTTAGTCTTTAGTTCTCCACGACAACACTCGGCCACACACAGTACAAAATACTGTCTCGGAATTACAGGAGTTTCCACTGGAAATTCTGCGTTCTCCACTGTACTTGTCAGCCTTGCTGCTAATGATTGTCATTTTGTTTCGGAATTTGGATATTTTTATATTGGTGAAAAATTCCTCCGATATGTCACTCAGATGCTTTAAAATCAATTTTCGCCCATTTCTCAGGATTTCTATAGCAGAGGCATGAATAAACTTCCATCAAAATGGCAAAAGTGGATCAACAGTAGTGCTTTAATTTTGATAAAAAATGTTTGAATAAAACGGTAAATTTATAAAACTGATTTAACTTAATTTTTACACAAGGTGCGCCCTCACATGTGAATAATAAATTTAAAACGAAACTATTGAAAATACGTGCAGCTGACTTGAATTTAAATTTTGAATATAAAAAAAAGTATTTTAATACCTAACAATTAATTGCAACATTTATTAACCATACAGTGTTAATATTTTATGTCCTTCAAATTGCGCCACTGAATGAAAATTTATCGGTACTGTTCTTACGTGTGTTTTCTTTAAGTAGGTTGTTTAAAATATTTTGTTGTGTATCATATTGAAGGTTTGCGTTACAATTATATATTATGTAGTATCGTAGATAGATAGGTTCGCTACCCTACGATACATTGATTTGAAGGACCGTGGGTTCGATTACTGAATAGAACAATTATTTGTATGTACTACAAATAACTGTTGCGGGTCCTGATGTATACGTGTGTAAAATGCCTTCACCTTATAGAGGAAATTACTAATGTGGAGTTAATATTTAAAAAAACCGGCCAAGTGCAAGTCAGACTCGCGCATGAAGGGTTCCGTATCACCACACACGTTTCTAATAGGGGAGACCCCTTTAATTTTTAATTAAAGTTATTTTTATTATTTTTTGTTATATCGGCAAAATAAATACACATTCTGTGAAAATTTCAACTGTCTACCTATTACGGATCATGAGATACAGCTCGCTGACAGACAGACGGACGGACAGCGGAGACTTCGTAATAGGGTTACCCTTTGGGTACGCAACCCTAAAAAGGGAGAAAATAAGATAGGGAATAGATTTTATATAATTGGTCGCAGGTTTAATCTCCGCACTGACCAAATGGCCTACAAGTAATTGTCTCGGTATGAACTTTTGTTCATGTACGTTTTTGTATGTAAAACGCATGTACGATAAAGGAGACATTATAATATGAAGCGTGGTGATAAAATTTAAGAAAGATCCCCAAACAGGTATAATAAACAGGGAGCAGAAAGTTCCTACGTTATTAAATTATTGACATCTAGCATGTTTTCTTTCAGAACAGCCGTCAAAGTGTGACCGCCTTTGAATATACTTAAGTAAGCTTACTTATGTATACTTTCATTCTTTCTTTGTCTCTCAAAGTTATTATCCATTATCCATAAATGTCATTTAAAGTGGCTTGGCAATTGAGTTGCAGCGCTAAGGGCCGCGGGTTTGAATCCCGCACGGAACAAATATCTGTATGGCCTATAAATAAATGTTCCGGGTCTGGATGTTTGTCTTTGTGCAATTCATGTTTGTAATTTGCCCCCACGATACAGGAGGAAATCCTAGTGTGTAGGTCATATTTTAAAGAAAAGATAATTAATATAAGAAATTATATCAAACGAATCGTCCAGTTTAAGGTGGTATTGTTCTTATCATTACTGATTTAGTAGGACAAAAATAGACGGCATAATTTTTAACAAATTGTGCATCAAATTATACCTGTTACAGTATTTAAAAGTAATCAATTTTTAATTGTCACCAAATACTTTGCTTTAACTTGTAATTAGGTATGCTCAGGTATGCTGATCGCATACTCACACTCACACACACACACACACATGCGAATATCAAATGTATCATACATGCGAATAAAATAACCTTCCTGTGGCTTAACCGTAGTCAGGCAATTAAATGATGATCAAAATGAGACTAGTACAATGTCATCATGTAAAAATGATTGTGCAAGCACATTAAGTGCGCAGGCTCGGCCGCTGGATGTGGTGCAAGCCCATTGTTCGCTGACAATAGGGAAAGCATCTACTATAACATGGAGCCGACGACCATGTTATTTGGGGCCACGAAATTTATATTTTGTTACCGCGAGCTACCGCAT